AATTATATAATGACTTTAATAATTTTTTCTCAAGTTTTACTATTATTGGGCCAATGCTGGGTTTATACCTAACATGGTTTCAATGTATGGAGGATTTTTTATATTGAGTATGATTGGGTTTTGTTTGAATATATTATTTGTTTATTTGACTAAAAAGAGCAAGTTTGTAAATTAAATTTTAATATGTAAAATTATTTTTAATTTTGTCTTGATGGGGAAGGATATTAAGCATTACTGCGGAGGATATTAAGCACTATATTATTATTTTCGCCTCGTAATAATCCTGGAAATCTTCTCTTAATTTTCTCCTCTCTCAAAATTAAATATCCAATTTTCTTATCCAACCTATTATTGTGAGGGGTATTAGGAGTTTATGGATTATATTGTTTATCTGAATAATCCTAGTTTCTGCTGAAACATCGCCCTACCCATCCTTTCTCTCCTCAAAATCACACCTCAATTCCAATCGCTAAATAATATTTTTCCTTTTCAAGATCCCTCCATGGTCGTTGTAATTTACTTTTAGCATTTAATTCATTAACTATAACACCTTTACAACTTTTTTCTGGCGTTAAATTTTTTGTTTTATTTTCTGGAACTAATTTTATAAGACTTAAAACTTGCTATTATTTTGCCTTTTTACCTTTAATTGGGGCTGGATTGGCTACAAGTGCACAATTATGTGTTGGAGTGGATAGATTAATTAGTGTTTTGTTTCCTTTTTGGTACCTAAACCAAGGGTGTTCGTAATATTTTAAAAAATTTAAAGGTATAAAGACAGCGATATATACATATCTACTACAATTTTGTTCATTTTTTGTTTTATTCGGTGTTTTGTCATGAATTGTTATTATTTCTATGGCGTTTCTCTACATCCTGACAAGTAAATAAAGCTAGAAAAAATTCCTAAAACTGGGGGTATCCTTAGGAGGGTATAATGCTCTCTAAAAAAGGATTTCCGAGACTGAGGGTACCATCTATCAGGGATCCTACCGACCCGATTCCCGAAATCGGGAATCTTGTTTTCTTGTCTGCAAGATTCCTCGTACTATATTAGAGCCTCTATAACAGAAGAACCCTCTAATAGGAAGAACATATACTATTCGATATAAGATAGAAGTAAGCGAAAATGAAGAGGTGGAAGTATGAAATGATGAACTAAAGTAAAATGGATCCTAATAAAAGACTTTCCGAGGGATATTGAGATATACAAGAGATGCCCTTCTAATAAAAATATTAAAATATTCAAGTATGGTTATGTGTGCAACAGGGGATGTTGTTACACCGGAGTCTGGCCCTTTTATCTACCAACAAGGCCTAGTCATATTTTTCACTGAATTTGGTTGTTATGTTGCTATCTGGTTAATTATTCTATTTAAAAAATCTTTGCAAGGTAATAAGTAGGGACAGCCAAAACATGCAAATGCATGTTTTGTATGCGGATATGCCTTGAAGTGAGAAGCCCAAAAATGGTGTTTTTACATAGGTCCGAGCACTTAAGGACCCGGTTCTTAATGCATATATTTGCATATTTCGGCCCTCCCGTGCATATTTGCATATTTGTGCATATTTTGGCAAATTTTCCATATTTTGGTCCATATTTCGGTATTTTTTGGTAAATTTTAGTAAAAATCGCCGAAAATTTTGAATTTTTCGGAATTTTTTTGGTAAAAAAATTTTTTATAAAAATTTTATAAAAAAATTTTTTCGAAAAATTTTTCGGAAAAATTTTCTTTTGTTAAATTTCTATGCAATAATCTTAATTCCATAAAATCTTTTAAGAATTTTCTTAAATTGCGGGTTTAAAAGCTAATTTCTTGTTTTTTGGCTTAAAATATTGATCTTTAAAGCATATTTTAACAATTTTTGGTGCATATTTCAGTGCATATTTTGGCAAATTTTGCATATATTGGTGCATATTTTGGGCTTTTTCGGTGCATATATATGCGCATATTTGGCGATTTTCCGTGCATATTTTGGCTGTCCCTAGTAATAAGCGTCGGGAAGATAAAAATGATAGTTCTAATAAATTTAAAGGGATGGCAAATGCAAAAAAATTAATTAAATCATTAACTATTTTAATGGGAATTTCTGTTTTTATATACTTACAGGCAAGTTTCAAAAAAATAAAATGTGAAGGGAATAAAGGAAGGAGCAAAGACAGATCGCATAAACTGAAAAATTTTAGATATCCGGATCTGGTATCCGAACCAAAAATTTTCTGATATTCGATCTTATTTCGGATCCAGATCCACCAGCCTTACGATCAGCATCTCTTGCTCTAGTTGACATCTGGCAAACTATCGAAAAATAGATTTAGTCGGTAGTATAACATCTAAATGAGTACCTAAGCATAATAAAATTTTGTATAAATATTCAAAGGTTGACTTTAAACTCTAATTAAAAGTTCAGAATTTTCGGTTAAGTATTTCATAAGTTATTATCGAAAAATTAACAAGTTCTCAAATAAATCACTATTTATAGGCCATCACTCATGAAATACTTGATCGAAATTTTTTAAATTTATAGGAATATTAAATAAGATTATTAAGAATATAGCATTTGAAAAATTTTACTCGTAAGGTTTCCACTACCCATTATTTCTTAAATTAAATTTACCCAATGTTCTCGCTTAGAAGTAAGTCTATATATCTCCACGCAAATTCCAATTAAAAATTATATTTAATTAAAAATATTTTTAAGGGACAAGTTTGGAGAGTGATTTTGACTTATGTTAGCTTTGACGCTTTTGCTACAGAATATTATATCAGTTATCCCACTACAGTTCTTTACATGATCGGATTTAGCAGTAATTTACCTGTTCTTGTTATTTTTAGGTTAAATTCCAATTTTCCCATTCCCCAAAATTTTTTTTAAAATTTTATAGCACGGAATACAAAACAGCGTTCTATAAACATCTTGGCTGGCTATTTTGTATCAAACCTGTACAACAACGTCCAGTTGCAGTTTCTATGGTTAGAAGATTGGATCAAGTCGAACCTAAGAGAGTGGATACTAATATTGTTAGTACTCATTCTAATGTTACTAATACTCGATCAAGAGCTTGATTGAAAATTGATATCTTATTAACTCATATTCTTCCCTTTTATCCCAATTTTTTAAATTTTTTCAATTATTTTATGTAAATAGCCTGAGGGCAAATGCGTATAACCTTTTCATTGATTTCCTATAATTTTAATTTTGGTATCATTCGATTCAGCTCGACGAGACGAATTGAATGAGTACAATTAAAATGTACATATTTCTTCTTATCTCTTTATTAAAATTTATTTAAGTATTTTGCTTAAGTACGTCCTCACCAACAAATTAAATTTTTAATATTTTCAAAACTATATTTTCTAAGAATAAATTTTATGATAAATTTTATTATTAAATATTATATGTAGATTTTATTCATAAGATATAATAATTTATTAAGGCTCATTTATAAGATAATTCAAGAGACTTCCAAAATAATTTAAGGTAAAATTAAAGAGTCTTTCGGGACTTTTAAAAATAAAAAAAATTTTTTTAACTAAACAAAAATATTAATAATACGTTGTACAGTATTCTTAACTTTATAACCCAACTAAAATCAAAATTTTAACATTTCTGTTATTTAATTATAAAGTTATTCGAATTTTTAATATTTATATGACGCAATGTACTTTAAAAAAGTGAAAAATATTTTTAATAAATTTTAAATAATAAATCATAATTTAATAAGCAGCTGCATGTACCATTGTATCTGTTGGTAAGGAGACGTTGGAAAATAAACAGAAAATTTTTATTAAATTTTTTAATAATAAATAATTTCTGATTATAATAAGCACTTTTATAATTAATTTAATAGTCACTTTTAAAATTTTTTTAAAAAATTTTTGTTTACCATAAAATAAATTTTTTACATTAAATTAGAGCTTACAAAATATCAGAATTTAAAAGTAAATATCAGAATTATATAAATTCAGAATATAACAATAATTACATAGAAATATATACAGCTTTCCGGAAAAGTTTTATTTCCGGTTGTATTTTACAATTATATTTTGCAATTATTAGTTAATATTTTCGGAAGGTTTTTTCCGGAAAATTACTATACGCATATTCCCTGTATTTTCCGGTTGTATTTTCCGGTTTTATTTTACATTTATTAGTTATTCCGGAAAGTTTTTTCCGGAAAATTAGTATACGAATATTCCTTGTATTTTCCGGTTGTATTTTTCTGTAGTATTTTACAATATTAGTTAATATTTCCGGAAAGTATTTTCCGGAAAATTACTATCCAAATATTCCTTGTATTTTCCGGTTGTATTATTCTGAAAATTAATTTTAATTCCGGAAGGTTTTATATGCCTTTTCCGGTTCTATTTTTACAATTTGTAGCTCTATATTTATAGTCTTTTTCCGGAAAGTTTTATTTCCATCTTCCGGTTGTATTTTCTTAATATTATTAAAACACAATTGTTAATTTTGTGCTTTCCGGTTGTAATATTCGGAATTTATATTTTTTCTAGTTATCTATCAGAAAGACGTATAAAATTAGACAACCTTAAAAATTAATTTAAAAATTATTTTTATTATTTTACTAATAATGAGCGACAATAACACAAATAATAATTTAACAACATTTAATACAAATCCTGTAAAATTTTTTTTAATATTAAATAATAATTTTACTAATAATTTTTCCCCAAGTTTCATCATTATTGGGCCAATGCCGGTTTTATACATCACATGGTTGCGATGTATGGAGGGCATTTTATATTGAGTTTGATTGGATTTTGTTTTAATATACTGTTTGTTTATTTGACTAAAAAGAGCAAGTTTGTAAATAAATATTTTAATAATATTTTTTAATAAAGTTTTGATGGGGTATTAATAAAAGATAAATGACCTAGGATTTGTAGAGTTATTTCGAGGGATATCAAGTGTTTAGGTTGTTCTTATGTGTCTAAATAATCCTAAGGATCGGCTCAAGACATCAATAGACCTCAAAATACACTCTCAATCCTCATCGTCAAATAAAATATTTTTCTTCTTTTTTAAGATCCCTCCATGGTCGTTGTAATTTACTTTTAGCATTTAATTCATTAACTATAACACCTTTACAACTTTTTTCTGGCGTTAAATTTTTTGTTTTATTTTCTGGAACTAATTTTATAAGACTTAAAACTTGCTATTATTTTGCTTTTTTACCTTTAATTGGGGCTGGATTGGCTACAAGTGCACAATTATGTGTTGGAGTGGATAGATTAATTAGTGTTTTGTTTCCTTTTTGGTTGAGCTTTTATTTGAATTTTGAAATTTTCAAAAAATTTAAAGGTATAAAGACAGCGATATTTACATTTCTACCTCAATTTTATTAATTTTCTGTGTTATTAGATGTTTTATTGTCACTTGTTATTATGTTTATGGCATTTCACTACATCCTGACAAGTAAATGATTATTAAAAAATATGATCTGCACCAATTCTATGCATGTACATCCTCGGAATAATAGAAGAACCCTCTCTTAACATATAGGAGATAAACTCTTGGACATTAAGTTAGAACAAGTTGATACTAAAAAGGAAAAAGTATGAATATAAGCTGATGAAAAGGGATAGTTAAGAATTACATCTCTAATAAGTGGCCCTCTCTAATCGAAGTTTAACAAGATTAATTATTAAAAAAGACACTAATGAGCGACTCTGTGGGAGTACTGGTATATCTTAAGACGCTGTCCTTGTATTGAGGATATACCTATGTAAAAATTATTTAAGCATGGTAATGTGCGGGCCAGGGGATATTGTTACACCAGATATTGCCCCTTTTATCTACACTGAAGGTCTAGTTTTGTTTTTCATTGAATTTGGTTGTTATGTTGTTATTTGGATAATTATTTTAATTAAAAATTCTTCTCAAGGTAAAAAGTCGGGAAAGATAATAAATGATATTTTGCTAATTTTAAAGAGATGGCATATGCAAAAAAATTAATTAAATCATTAACTATATTAATGGCAATTTCTGTTTTTATCTTCGTACAGGCGAGTTTAACTTATTTTAATACTACGCCTTGACTCATAGTATTAAAATATAGCATTAAATTGGGCCATTTAATTGGCCCCCCTTAAATTGCCCCACTTGAGCCCTTAAATTGGTATATCTAATCAAAATTTGCAGAATTTTTTTTGAAGTATTTTAGAAGTTATAGGTAAAAATTGACCAGGTGCTGCCGAAAATGAGAGGGATGAAACATAAAATACAAATTGAAAGTTACGGGAAAGTTGGATAGTGATGATTGTGATAATATTATCGAGTCTCGAGTCCGGGGCTAAAATAAAAAAAATCTGTAAAAATTTCTGAAATTTTCTCTTACACCAGAATACAAAACAGCGTTCTATAAACATCTTGGCTGGCTATTATGTATCAAACCTGGACAACTAAGTCCAGTTGTAGTTCCTATAGTTAGAAGATTGGATCAAGTCGAGCATAGAATGAGAGCGGATACTAATACTGCTGTTACTCATTCTAGTGTTACTAATACTCAATCAACAACTTAATTGGAATCTCATATATTTTAGATCAAAATTTGCCCTTTATCTCGATTTTTAAAATTGTACATACAATTTCTGTAAATAGCCCGAGGGCAAATACTTAAAACTCTGTTCATTTACTTTCTATATTGTTAACTGTGGTACCATTCGATTCAACTCGACGAATCAGATGGAATAAGTATTATTTGATTCCTTTGTATATTTTTATAAAAATTTTTAAAATATTTTTCTTTATGATGTTCTCAATTTAATTCATTATTTTACAAAAAATTAAAATACAGTACTAACTTTAAAAACTTTTATACTAATCAGAAATATTATTGAGACATTTTACAGTATTTTTGAAAGTATAATTCCCCATTAAAAGTTTTATAATTTTTGTTATTTTAATTAAAAGGTTATATGAATTTTTAATAAATGCGTGTGCGTGTGTGTACTTTATGGGGCCTATTTTAATTGTCCACAGATTCTGCGGTCTGCGGTCTGTGCACAGACCACAGAACCACAGAAATCCTGTTTTAATTATTCCACAGATTCTGCGGAAAAAGGAGTCCGCAGATTCTGGGGAAACATCCACAGATTCTGTGGAAACATGCACAGATTCTGCAAAACATACAAAAACATGTAAAAACCACAGAATTCTGTTTTAATAATTTTTCTGTGCACAGAAAAAAATCCACAGATCTGTGGCTTTTTTAGTCGATTCTGTGCATTTCTGTTTTAATTGTTTCTGTGGTCTGCGGAAAATACACAGAATTCATTAAAGAATCCACCCTAATATTTTTTCTGTGAATTTTTTGTGGAAAAACTTTAAAAAATTTTTTCTAGGCCTAGGCTTAACCAAATTTTAAAATTTTTAAAGATTATTAAATTTTGAATCATTATCTATCTTTTGATATAAAAATTATTATTTTATCTTACAAAATTAATTGTGAAAAGTGACTTTGAAAAAGGAACATCTTTTTCTAGCATTTTTTGCTATACTCAAGTAATAAAAAAGAAAAAAACGTGAGAGATTATAAAATTTAGAGCTATGAGGTTATAATCATCATGGATATCTCCTAATGAGGGGATATTTCCCCGGGATCAATAGAGGATATCTGCCTAGTATATATCTAGAATATCTCCAATGATCTCTCATTGATATCCCTCACAATCTCTCCTCTTTAATGATAGATTTTCTCGTTAATCCCTCCAATATATTAAACCTCAAAAATCAAGTTTTGTAACATTTCCCTCCATTGGAACAACTTCTATCATAGTTGGAAAAAGCCTCCCCCGATGTCGGATCCACATCTTCCGATTTTTCCGATCCGAACCCTGCTTTAGAACATTAATCTAATCGGGGATTTGAAGGATATTAGATGATCAAGAAAAATAAGCGGTAAATCAGCGGATTTAAAGTGATATCAAAAAGATTTCAAGGGATGTCATGTGATTTGAAAGGAAAATGTTTTAAATTTTTACAATATTTTTCAGTTTAATTTAAAATTTTTAAAGTTTTTCTTCAAAAAATCAGGTACCATTAATACTGCGGTAGTACCGAACAGGCCAAACCATTTTTCGTTTCAATAAAACTGTTATTTTGAGAAACGCGGAAATAAAAAATTTGAATTTAGAAGGAAAAATACACAGAACCACAGAAAAACAATTAAAACAGAAATTCTGTGGCTCAGTGGAAAAAACCCACAGATTTTTATATTTTCCACAGAAATTTTCGTCCACAGAATCTGCGGAATTTTTCCACAGAATTAGTGGATGTTTCCGCAGAATCTGCGGGCACCACAGATTCTGTGCACACAGAATTTAATTAAAACAGAATTTCCGCAGAATCTGTGTTCTGTGCACAGAATGCAGAATCTGTGGACAATTAAAATAGGCCCATGAAAGCGCAAAATTGTTTTTAATAAAATTTTAAAGAAAAATTAAATATTTATTAAATCATGTTTTTCTGTTGCTACCGAAAGCAGCTGCAAGCACGTAGAAGTGAAGCAAAAAAATTTTTTTCGTGACTTAAAAAAATTTTAAACAAAAAATATTAATGAAACATTGCACAGTATCATAACTAACTACAATAAAAATTTTATAATTTTTGTTATTTTAATTAAAAAATTTGTATGAATTTTTAATAAATGAGTGCAATGCACTTTAAGAAAGTGAAAAATATGAAGAAAAAATTAAATAAAATATTTATAAATTTTAAATAATAAATCACAATTTAATAGGGGGTATAACGCTTTTTCTTAGTTGTGTTCAAGTTATTACTGTTGCTACCGAAAGCAGCTGCAAGTACCATGGTATCTGTTGGCAGGGAGACACTGGAAAATAAAATAATAAGAAAAGGAAATAAAAATCAGAATTTGTAATTTTATTAAAATTCCGATTTTATTTTTGGCGGAAAATACAAATTCTGAAATCAGAATAATGTTAATAGTTTGTGTTTTCTTTTTGCACAAATCAGAATTTTTAATTTTTAAATAATCAGAATTTGTAATTTTAAATACCGTATTTTTTGTATTAGAGCCCCATGGGGCTCTATTTTTCAACTATCCTCCAAAGTGGGGCTATATTACAGCGTGGGGCTCTAATAGAGCGTGGGGCTCTATTTTTCAACCTATTTTTGAAAATAAGTAATAGGATTTTCAATTATACGGTTAACTATATTTATCAAATCAATTAAAGTACTAAGTCGCGGTTAAGTGCATTTGAGTTGGATTTAAAGCCAAATTGGAATTTTAATTTGTGGAAGGTTCGAATCCTATCGAGCATTTGAAGGTTCGATTCTATTTTGCTTCATCCGTACGTTTCACTCTCTCGTGTATATATTCCGGTTTAGTCCCGATGGAAGGATATAGATGTGATTAAGAAGGTATTTCCATGTTGACTTCGGGCTCCGGGTGGAAAATCAATGGATAATATTATTTCGTTGATTCGTGTAGATTAAAGGGATATCGAGTGATAAGAGGAATGAGAAGGATATCAATGCATTAAGCGGGATTTGGGCAGATTATAGTTTTTTGGGCAGATAGAGTAACTCGAAAATGCTCAAACTCGACTTACTCTACTTTATTTCACAGACTTCTAGTCAATTTATAAAATCGGGATTTGCATCTGGATCTGATGCACATCCCGATCCCGGATCCCGGCCTCGGGATTGGGATTGGCCGAGATCGGGATATATATCTCGGGTTCGGGATCAGAAAAATCGGGATTGGGATGCGAAAAACTCGGGATACTCCCGCCCGATCCCGACCGGGATCCCTATCCCGCTGAACTCTAGTCAATCTATGCCTCCAGTGACAGAACCTAACTGAAATGAGCTGCTTTGATTTGACTGGAAATGATAGAAAAGGCTGTACAGTATTAAAAATAAATTTATTAACGTATGCTTAAATTTTAAAAAGTGGGGCTTTATTACAGCGTGGGGCTCTAATACAGCGTGGGGCTCTATTTTTCAACTATCCTCCAAAGTGGGGCTTTATTACAGCGTGGGGCTCTAATAGAGCGTGGGGCTCTAATACAAAAAATACGGTAATCCGAATTTGTTATTTTTAAAAATCAGAAATTGTAATTTTTAAAATTCAGAATTTGTAATTTTTAAAAATCAGAATTTGTAATTTTTAAAAATCAGAATTTGTAATTTTTAAAAATCAGAATTTGTAATTTTTAATAATCAGAATTTGTAATTTTTAAAAATCAGAATTTGTAATTTTTAAAAATCAGAATTTGTAATTTTTAAAAATCAGAATTTGTAATTTTTAAAAATCAGAATTTGTAATTTTTAAAAATCAGAATTTGTAATTTTTAAAAATCAGAATTTGTAATTTTTAAAAATCAGAATTTGTAATTTTTAAAAATCAGAATTTTTAATTAAAAATCAGAATTTGTGATTTTTAAAATTCAGAATTTTCTGTATTTTACAACCTAGCCGTAGTAGTAGGAGTGATTGAAGTATTCGAAGTCTCGTTAGTAGTTTGTAGTTGTGATTGCTGTTGTTGATGAAGCAATAAATTATTTAAGTGTTGTTGTTGAAGCAGCATTTGTTGTTGATGTTGAAGGTTAATTGTAGAAGGATCTGATAAGAGAGATTGTTGCTTCTGAAAAATTATGGTTTTCTTTGTAAATATTTAAAATCAGAAATTAATAAGAGAAAAATATCAGAAAAAAGCAGAATTATTTCCAAAAAAATCAGAATTTGTGATCAGAATTTTTCTTTGATTTGAGGGAAAATCAGAATTTATTCCAAAAAATCAGAACCAGAATTTCTTTCATAATTAAAAAAATCTCAAATTTTTCACAAAAATCAGAATTTAATATTGAGGACCTGTGCAGCCTGTGAAGCCTGTGCAGCTAATAAAGAAGCATAGTCAACTGAAGAGGTGCATTGTTGAGCTAATAATGCTGCAATAACAGGGTCGAATCCAGGTATTCCACTAGTAGAACTTTGCGTTTCGATAGGTTGCAAATTTGAAATATTGTTTGAAATTAGTGAAGGATTTAAAGTTGAAGCCAAAAATGCGGCTTTAAATTTAATTTAAAAATTTTTAATTAAAAATTCAAAAAAATTTTTTAACAGATCGAGGGATGACTTTAAAAATTGTTAAAAAAGCATGAAAAAGTAAGGGGTAAAACACCACAAAATTAAAATTTGGGGCTTAATAGAATAATACAGTAGGACCTTACTTTAAAATTTAAAAAGGAATTGAGTGGGTGAAAATACACCCTATTATACGAAAAAAATTTTTAAGCCCAAGAGGTGTACTGTAGATGGACATTGGATCAACAGTTTTCTATACACACAATCGCACATATAGAATCATTGTAGGGGGAATTCATTATAGTGAGGTCTTACTGTATATTTAATCACCTGTTTGTTGTGAATAAGTATTTAAATTTGAAGAGGACGAAACTGGCAAAAACCGAGAAAGTTGTTGATTGTTTAGAAGAGCAATTTGCTTTAAATTTAGGAGGGAAAAACAAAAAATAAATTTTAAATTTAAAGGAAATAAAATATTAATATAAGTATACTATTCTAAAGCTTGATAGCCAAAAAAGAGATTAAAAGCAAAAAATAGATAGCATTATGGAAAAAACAGAAAATAAAAAAATATTTTACTTGGAGAATTTCATGGAAAAATTAAGATAATATAGTCGGACTTCGATTTTACGTACACCTCGCTTCTATGGAAAAAAATCCTTAAAGCTGGTTAGCCAATGGGTAAAGAGGAGGTCTGATTGTAATAAGGAATTAATTTAATTAGTTATAGTAGTAATAATTAGAATTAATTAAATTATAAATGGGTAGGTGACTTTGGAAATTTTTTTGGAAAAATGATCTGAATTCCTAAGGTTAGGTCTAAGATAAAATAATTTATTGTAAAATAAATTATACAAATTTTTAAAAAAAATATTAAATTAGGGTAGGTCAGTATAGCGATTCCTACCCAAATGAGTATATTGGAACTTGAGAATTAATTTCCGGAAAAGAATTAGAAATAATCCAATCCAGAAAAGGACCCATTCCTGAAAAAAGGTACCATCCCCTAAATAAATATTTGCAGCTTAAAACAAAAATATCTAACGATAGAAATCACACACTCAAGAAATTTACCTCTTGAAGTGATTGAGGGATTAATAATGGAATATTATTCGAAATAATATTTCTCTGTGTTTGTTGTTGTTGTAATTGTTGTAATAATATTTGTTGCTGCCACAAGGAAGGGGGTAATCCTCCAATAAATGGAAGGGTTGGTTGTTGAGTAGATTGTTGTTGAGGGGCCCCTCCCAATAATAATTTCCCTCCTCCTCCAGAAGCAACTACAGAAGCCAATACCGAAGTTGAAGGTGTTAATATATTTGTTAAAGTACCCACAGGTTTGTATTGAATTGTGGGACCCTTGGCTGGGGAATCGAGTAAAATGTGACAGACATGCTTCATACAGCCTATTAATGCTTCACTGTTACCACCTTAAAATTAAAAAAAGTAAAAGTATCCCCTCTTCCAAGATTCCTCTCTTTTGACTTTCAAAAGGCTCATAATGGTCAGACTAAGGATAATGGTCAGACCTATCCACGACAGTCCTTCTGTTGCCTCCACGTTCCCCGAAAAAGTTACCCCCTTAATTATCTCCAGGATTTCCTCTCTTTTTACTTTCAAAAGGCTCATAATGGTCAGACTAGGGATTTTGTGTTTTTTTTAAATTTTCTCCCCGATCCAGATCCCCGACAGTCCTTCTGTTGCCTCCTCGTTACCCGAAAAGGTTCCCCCTTTAATTATCTCCAGGATTCCTCCCTTTTTACTTTCGAAAGGCTCATAATGGTCAGACTAAGGATTTTGTGTTTTCGTTTGAAATTGTCTCTCCGACACCGATCTCCGACAGTCCTTCCTTCGCCTCCTTGTTCCCCGAAAAAGTTCCTTCTGACGGGCTGGGGAGAAACAATACAAAAAAGAATAGCTTATAATTTAAGAGAAATACATACCGTATATGCTCGAATAATTACCCTGGGTAATTATTGTTTCAACCTCTCGCTAGACGGGGTAATTATTTGAGAGGGGGCAATTATTTGAGAGAGGGTAATTATTGTTTCGACTTTGCTATAAATGTTTTGTTCTATCATTTATAGACAGGGATATACAATATGATACCGAATGCGGATAATATACCCCCATATAATATACCTTAAAGTGGTTCTCGGGATATAGTGATACCAGACGATCGCAAATTATCTTAAGAAATCTAAGAGATAACAGAAATTTTGGAGAGATAATTGGGATTAAAGCTTTTTTCAAGGTAATACCTTGATATATCCCTTAATTCATCCAAAAATCCTTTTAATCTTTCGATCTATTTTTTATATGGATCCTTAAAATGTTCCATTATTAAAATTTTTAGATTTTTTAAATAAATATTTTTATAATTTTTTTATGAAAAATAGGGGGTAATTATTAAAGAGGGTAATTATTTGAGAGAGGGCAATTATTTTTTCAACCTCTCGCTACATGGGGTAATTAATTGAGAGGGGGCAATTATTTGAGAGAGGGTAATTATTCGAGCATATACGGTATAGAAAATTATTTACTTATGGTAACTGGTTTTTCTGTAGAATTGCTAAGCATTTCGTTTGCTACTTGAAGAGAAGCACCAGTTTTCTTTATAAATTTAAATAAATTTTTGATAGATTTAATTTCTTACATCACGTATTTCTCTTATTTTTGAACCGCCTTTTCCAATTAATGAACCGCATTGTGAAGCTGGTATCTTTAAACAGAAGAATTGCGAAAAATAAAAATTTAAAATTTTATTTTGTTGTCCATGTTTTGGATTTGGAGTATAAGACTTGGGATAATCTGTGACATCCCTGTCCTTCCAACTTCAGGATTTACTAAGCTATAGTTGATTTTTAGATGGCATAAGGGACTACACTGAAGCATACTTTATCAACTGTATGGTATCAACCCCGAGTTTCTTGTTAAGTGTAAGTCTCAGATCGGTATCGGATCTTGAATACAGAATTTCGAATAATATGTGACCTCTTCGGCCTTGATGCCTCATTAGTTACAAGTTAGCTAGACCCGAATGCCTCACCATTTGGGACGTGCCTCGTGTTTACGTGGCCCTGTTTAGGTTCTATAAAGGTACTACGCTAAATCAGAGTTCACCAACTCGTCAGGTATCGAGCCTGAGTTTTCCGTTAAGTAAAAGTCGGGTGGAGTGTTAGCTATATGCTATATCAGTAAAATTTTATAATTAAAAATTTACAATTAGCCTAAGTGTAATGGGTGGCTTTATGGCTCCAGCTTGTGTTGAGGGAATATCCTTTCAATTATTAATAAAAATAAAATTATCAGAAAGAAACTTCTTCAAATTTTCTAACAATCAAAGTGAAGGCTTGATCAACGGCAGCAAAAGTACCCGAAATTGTTACAATTCTGATGGATAATTAAATAAAATTTAATTAATTAAAATCACCTTTCTGGACAAGACCCATCTGTAATATTAATTTTAGCACCACTATTTTCTCTAATTTGTCTAATAAAATCGCCCTTCTTTCCTATAATGCTGCCTACATCCTTAAATAAGAGAAGAATTCTGATTTTTATAATTAATTAATAATTGTAATTTTAAGGAATAAATCAGAATTACAATTTGTAATTTGTATTTTTAAAGAACAAAAATCAGAATTCTGTATTACAATTTTTTATTAGAAAATTCTGACTTTAAAAATCAGAATTTTATATTTTTATAAGAAAATTCTAATTTATTTTTTCTTTATTATATGAAAATTTTGATTTTGTTTTAACAATTCAGATTTCTACTTGTGTTAATTTTAATTTAAAAAATGAGGATTTAAAATCAGAATTATTTATTTGTTTTTAAACCAGAATATTTAAAAGCAGAATATTCTGAATTCTCAATTTTATATTTAATAAAAATTCTGATTTAATTCGAGTTAATTTTAACACATTAAAAATCAGAATTTTTATTTTTAAAACCAGAATATTTAAAAAAGGATGTGTTTTGCATATACATTTTTATTTTCTTTCGATTTTATTAAAATTCTGATTTTGTTTTTAATAAAATATTCTGGAATATTATTTGCATTCGTTAAAATCAGAATTATTAATATAAAATCAGAATTATTTAAATCAGAAAAATAAATTCTGATTAAATTAAAATCAGAATTATTTAAGTACCTTTCCCTGCATTAACATTCTGACTGTCAGAATTACATTATCCTTTTGTTGGGGTTCTGTTGAATTATTTATTGTATTCTCATTGGAGGGAGGAGAATTATTATTATTTTTATTATCAGAATTTTGAGGAATTAATGTTTTTGGGGATGAATAAAATGAGGAAATAATTTTATTATTTTTATTATTATTTTTATTAATTTCCATTGATGATTTTGTAGTAGTTGAAGGATAATTACACAAAAATGAGGAAAAGAAATTAATTTTATTTTTGTTTAAATGATTATTTTGTGGGGTGGTGGAATGCATTTTTATTTTTTTATCAATTTTCTTTAAAATAAAAAATATTTATTTAAAAAATGTTTTTTGGAGTGATAAGAATTTTGGGTGGAAATATTGGGGGAGTCGTAGGAGAAGCGAATTTTGAATTAAAGAGTGTAATCTAGGAAATTACCTAATTACCTAAAAAAAAAAGTGGAGGAATGACTTAAAACTTTCGATTTCTGAACTTAGGACGGTAAGGAGCTCCTTTAGCCTTACTTTTACTATTTTTGTCTTAATATTTTTGATGTTGATATTTTGATGGCCCTCGTTGGGGTCGGGTGTGTCGGGGATCGGGGTTTGCCGGGGATGGAATGTTGGCGTTCGGAGTCGGTGTATAATTTTGTCGGAGTTCAGGGTCGGATGTGGTGAGGTACGGAGTGCTATTTAGTTTAAAAATTATTTTAAATTAGCACATATATTTTTTAAGACCATTTAACAGATAGGGTGGAGGAATTAGAAAGGTGGAGGAACATTAAAAATAAATTTCTGATTTTGGGAATGGGGGAAAGACTTTGAAATGGCATGACTTAAAACTTTCGATTTCGGAACTTGGGACGGTAAGGATCTCCTTTAGCCTTGCTTTTGCTATTTTTTAGGCTTAGAAAATATTTTAAATTAAGGTGGATATTTTTTAGGAATTTTTTAAGTTTGTAAAATTAAAAAAGTTTAAAAAATAAAAATTAAATTGGCAAATTAATGACTAAAAAGTGGATAAAAAAGTAAAGAAAAATACTCAATTTGGAAATTTGGTAGAAAAAAGTAAAAAAAGAAATGAAGTTTAATGGCTTAACAACACATTGCTGTGTCCCTCAATTTATTTCCCAATCCTTAAAAATTTGTGGAAAAGTAATAAAATTTAAAACGAAATGATAAAAATAAAACGATTAAAAAATATAATTTTTTTGATAAGAAAAAAAATTTAAAAAATATATTATTTAGAAAATGACTGAAAAAAGTAACTAAAATGAGAGGTTATTAAATTTAAATTTAAAAATTAAATAAAAGAGTTTTAGAGGTAAATGCCTCATTATGTAGATGAGGGAGGTGGAGGACGATTAAATATCGTTGATTCAGTATTTAGACCATATTATGGGCCATAACTTTTGTAGTGCTTGAACGATTTAAATAATTATATCAATCGAAATCCTTAAAATAATTCTCAATTTTTGGGAATCGAAACGGCTATATCCCTAAATTAGGGTTTCTTTCGGGCCGGCCAGACCGAGTCTTTTTCGTGCCAAAATTCGGACCGGAGAAGGCCGACCGACAACCCTATCCCTAATAAATACGTCAATTCAGTATTTAAAGGACGATTCAATATCGTCAATTAATTAAGTTTCTGAGACCCATAAACCTTCTTAAAATTGCAAAAAAAAATTAAAAATTCCAAAGTGTATTTAAGTGCAAACAAATAACAAATAAAATAACAAAAAAGCAAAAAGAAAAATTATATATTAAAAAAATAAAATTAGGAGGAAATGAGAAAAAAAAAGATGATTGAAAAATGAGAAGACAGATGATGCGGTTTTTAATTTTTAAAAGTTGAGGGTTTGAAAATAAAAAAAGTAAAAGTTTTTTGTTTATTTGTTTTGCAAGTAAACGATAATTAAAAATTTAAATTTTTAAAAATAGAAAAAAATAAAAATTCTGAAGTCATTAATTATAATTAGAGCTCTAACTGTGAGGGTTGTACAAGAATCGAGCTTGATAACCAACCTTGATAACCTTGCTTCGGTCGATCTCTAATTATAATATAGGCCTTCGAAAAGCCTAAAATATAGGCTTTCTCGATGAGCTAAAGAGATTGGTACCAAATTTGATAAGGGCCAAAAACTTCCCAGCTATTTAGGCTTTGCGTTATTATGGCCGCGCTTTTGAGGGATAAAAATCAACAAATTTAATTGTACAACCCCAATACTTTCCTATCTTGTTTTTCCCCAATTTTTGTCCTCAATCAACAAACATTCACTCTCCCGTCCATTCATTTGCGCTCCTTTATTTACAAATTTTTTTTGTTTTCCCCCTCATTTCTACCTTTGAAAGTCGCATAAAAGCATCCCTCAAGAGCTTATTTAACCACAAAGCTTAAAAAGAAATGAAGTGTTTTAGTACAAAATTATACAAAAAATGATCAAATATTGCGGGGAAATAAATAGAAAAATTAATTTGAGGGAAATAATTTTGGGGAGAATAAAGAGAGAGAATGAGAGGGGAATTGTGGGAGTGTAGACAAGTTTGGACCTTATAACTTTAGTAAAAATGAATTTTTAAAATTATAATTGACATCATCTGATAGAGCAGAAAATTTGCTATTAAATAAAATTAAAATGATAAATTTTTGTTAATTAGGAGAAAAGTTATGATGAAAAAACTGACCCCAATTTAATAAAATATGGAGCATTTTTGGCGGTTTTTTGACGATAACTTTTTCAGTAGTGAACCTATAATTTTGATTTATAGCTCATTTTGTAGCAAATTTAATTCTCTATCGAATGATATAAAAATATTTAAAAAATGTTCATTTTCTATTGAGTTATCATTTTCCGAAAACGGCAGGGTCGTATGTGTATTTTGAGGTAAATAGAGGGAAATCTCTCCCTCTCATCCCATCTTTACCTCAGAGTTTGTACAAGCATTGAGGTTTTTGATTAAATAAAGGCCCCAAAAAGCGAGAAGCTTTTTCCCAATCTTCCTTATAGCTTACAGGCCCTGGTTGTCATCAACATTCAGTCAGTCATCTGCTCGATTTGCTTGCGATAAGAGCGCAAACAAATAAAAATATATAAAAATACCAACAGAAAAGCATTGTATATTTTTACTAGAAGAAAAAAATTGGGAATAGTTGGGGGCTAGTTGGTGGGTAAAAAATATTATTTTTATACAAATAATGAAAGGAGAGAGAGAGAAGAAATTTTTTGGCCAAAAAATTAAAAAAAAATATTTTTTAAAGAAATATAATTTTATTTTTGAGTAGATTATTAACATAAAAATAATATTTTTGATTTTTATCAATTTTTAATTGAAAAAAATTTTTTGGAGAGAAAATTTTGGAGAAAAAAAAGTATCGAAAAATTAATTCTAATAAATTTAGGAGGAAATAAATTAAAGAAAAAATATGGACAAAATTACTATAGCACTATGTGTATTCAAATCATAATTTTAAAATTTGTATTTACAATTGTAAATTAAGTATATTAATTAGGGTTGCCAAAATGGACCGACTCGGACCGAAAGATCGAGACGGGCCTAGATGTTTGGCAAGAAAAATACTCGTACCGGCCCGACTCGATAAAATGAAGACAAAAAAACGCCTCGACCGTCGGCCCAACTCGGAAACGGCAACCCTAATATTAAATACATAAGTTGTTAAATCAGAATTGATAAATTCTGAATAAATTAATTCTGAAATTAATTTTACAATTCTGATTTATAATTTAATTTTGTACTTCAGAATTTTTATGTTTTATTTTGTCTTATTAAATTCTGAAATAAATATAGTAATTTTTATTTGCACAAATTTTTTAAAATCTTTACATAAAATTCCAAAAAAAATGCCAATTTCAATTAGTTAAACAAAACTAACTTTAAAAATTTTATTTGGACAATTTACTTTTCTGGTTCCCCCCAAATTTTATGTAAACAAAAAAGTAAAAGTAACACGTTTTTTGTTTAACTTAATTTGTTAGCAATTGGCACGTTAAGAAAATATATTGGATGGAAAGAAAGTTTATTTATAATATGTAAATACACAAAAATAATTTGGAAAGAATTTGCAAAGAAATTCAATTGAAATTAAATTATATTCAGAATTTTTAAAAAATTACAAATCAGAATTTCTGATAAAATAATTGTAATTATGTGTTATAATAAGTTTTTACAAATCAGAATTTATTTTACTTAAGTTTGTTAAATAATTCTGGTTTTAAAAACTTAATTAATAAATAAAAATTCTGATTTATATAGTACAAAGCAAGTTTTACAAATCAGAATTTTCTTTTTGTAAAACTTTACTTAAAAATGAAAATTCTGATTTGTAAAACCTGAATTGTATAAACCAGAATTTCTGTTTATTTTATAAAGCATATTACAAATCAGAATATTTTTTCAAAATTCTGATTTATATAGTACAATACAAGTTTTACAAATCAGAATTTTTCTTTGGTAAAACATTGCTTGAAAAAATAAAAATTCTGATTTGTAAAACTTGCGTTCTATAAACCAGAATTTCTGTTTAGATCATAATAAAATCAGAATTTTTTATTTTAATTAACTTTCAGAATTACAAATCAGAATTATTTTCGATTAATTGGTTTTCTAAAATTAATCAGAACTTTTTTAAATTACAATTGTAAATTACATTAATTAATTATTTTGCATTATAAAATACATAAATAAATAATTTATAAAATTAAATAAAAATAAAAGTGAATTGATGAACAAAAAATTGAAATGTGAGAAAATCTACTTTAAGTCGTCCAAAGACATAGGGCCAAATAAAAAAAGAAAATGAAAGAAAATGAAAATTTATTTTTTAGGGTAAGAAATGTAGCCGTGAAATGAATGGCAATAGAGAGAAGGGTAATTTAAGGAAGAAAAAAATGAGGGGGAGAGGGAAAAGGTTTTAAGACCATCCTCACCTCCAAGTAAATAAAAATGAAATTTGAGAATATTAGCAATTTTTTGTTGTTTTGTTAAATAAATATAGTGGTGTCAATAACTGTAAACCTTTATATGTAATAATAAATGTAAAATAAAATTTTTATAAAACAGAATTATTTGATAAAAATCAGAATTAAAATTATTATCGGATTTTTAATAAAAAAGGAGAGAAAATAATTATAACTAGAAATTAATTAATAAAAAAATCAGAAATTGTATTTTATTTAATTTTAAATTAGAATTTACAATTTACAAAATATGGATATCAGAATTTGTATTTTGTCTAAATATATTTACAAACCAGAAATGGTAAAAATCAGAATTTTATTTAATTTTTAAATTTATAAAATCAGAATTTGTAATATCCATCTTTTTGTTATAAATTCTGAATATCAGAATTTGTAATTTATTTTCACAAATCAGAATTCCTTATTTATTTTTAAGTTTACAAATCAGAATTAAAAAAATCAGAATTTGTAATTTATTTTTAAAAATCAAAATTTCTTTTTTTCAAGTTTACAAATCAGAATTTAAAGAAAATCAGAATTTATAATTTATTTTAACAAATCAGAATTACTTATTTATTCTCAGGTTTACAAACCAGAATTTTAAAAAATCAGAATTTGTAATTTATTTTTATAAATCAGAATTCCCTATTTATTTTATTGTTTACAAATCAGAATTTTAAAAAATCAGAATTTATGTATATTTATTTTCATAAATCAGAATTCTTTATTTATTTTCAAGTTTACAAATCAGAATTTTAGAAAATCAGAATCTGTAATTTATTATATTAATATCCATCCCTTTGTATATATCAATATTTAAAAAATTATCCCTCCCGCTAACAAAAGCAGCAGAATTTCAAGAGCAATATCTTTCCACTTACTTTCTGGTCATCAATCCGGATATATAATATTTATTTATGATAATTTAAGTACAAAAAACAGAAAATTTACTTTCATAGTACGTTAGGCACTTAAACAACCACAAAAAAATAATTTTTTAACTGGACTAGGAGAGAGAAAGTAATACATCTTTTCTCTTTATTTTTATTTATTTTTTGCTAATTTTCCCCAATAATTTTTTTAAATCTTCATTGTCTTCCTCTTGTTCTTCAAAAACAATATTTACTTAAATTTCATATAATCCTCTTTATTTCTTTTTTATTTTTTTAAAAATTGTCTGTTGCAAAACTTAACCAAAAACCAAAAAAAACATAAAAATAAATAAAAAAAAACAAAGATAAGAAACAATAGTATTTGTGTGAAATGTACTTGTAAGCAATAATAATACATAAAAGCCTGGAAAACTGTTAGTACTTAAATATTCCTCAAAATATTCTTCAAAATATTCTAAAAGCAACTCAAAAATGTTTAGGATACAAATTTACAAGATTTACAATTTTTTCTGATTTTTTTCTGATTTTTTCTGATTTTTTAAAATATTTTTCTGAGTCGTTTTAACCCTATATAATCATCAGAACAGTGCATTTGTTCATTAATTCTGGTTTGAATAAATATTTAAAATCAGAATTGTATTTTTTGTATTTTCGTTTTAGTTTGCTGTATTTAATTCTGATTTTAAACTTATAATTCTGATTTGCTTATAATTTTGATTACTTATAATTCTGATTTGTAAAATATTTTTTTTTAATAATTTAAAACCAGAATTATTTTACAGAATTATATATTAAAATCAGAATTTCTTTAAGATCAGAATTTTATCATCATTATTTCTTATCAGAATTATTTTTAACTATAAATCAGAATTTAATCAGAATTTTTAAAAAATTACTGGTCAGAATTACTCTTAAAATCAAAATTAAACAATTAATTTAAAGCCAGAATTATTTTTTAGAATCAGAATTAAAAAATAAAAAAAAATCAGAATTATTTCTAATTAAATTAATCAGAATTATTTCTATAATTATAATCAGAATTTAACTATCTAAACCAGAATTTAATTATTAAAACCAGAATTATATATAGAACTTTAGGTAAGCATAGTATATTTATTATTGTAGTCCCCTTTTAATTAAAAAAATTTTTTAACTAATAAAATGAAATCAGAAATAAATTCATATTTTATATTTAATTTAGGACCTCCTATAATTTAATATATTTATATGAAAATTCAAAAATAATAAATTAAAATTAATTAAATATTTTCTCAAAATGTTTACTCATCATCTCCACTTTCTTCTCGTTTTGCTTCTATTAACAACCCCTCCTGTATTGCCTCAATTTGGAGGTCCACAGTTTGGAGGTCCTCCTCTAAATGCCCCTCCCAACAATGCATTCCCCCCTATTGGAAATAATTTGGGAGGAGGTGGATTTCAATCAGATCCGTGTGCGGCAATGTGTGGAGGTCCAAACATGGGAAATTCAATACAACATCAACAACCTTTACAACAATTTGCTTTAATGCCTCCTAATGGGCAACAAATGCAACAAAGAGATGAAAGATGTTAGTGTCTAATTAATAAAAAATGTCAGAATTCTGATTTTAATTACGGAAAAATCAGAAAAATTATTTGTGAAAATCAGAATTCTGAGTTTTTAATTCCGAGAGAAATCAGAAAATGAATGAGAATCAGAATTCTGATTTTAATTCTGAAAAATCAGAATTTTTTAAAAATAAGAATTCTTATTTTAATTCCAAAAAAATCAGAAATATACTTTTGAATCAGAATTCAGATTTTTTAATTCTGTAAAATCAGAAAAATTATTTTATAAAATCAGAATTCTGCTTTTAATTCCGGAAAAAATCATAAAATTATTTTAAAAAATCAGAATTCTGATATTAATTTAAAACAGGTTGTTGCTGCTGTTGTCCTCCACCTCCACCACCCCCACCAATGATGGCACCTCCACAAAGACCCCCATGCTGTGTAATTTGTTGTTGTGAACAACAAGTAAATATTTTTAATTAATTTTGTTTTTATTTTTAAAAATTTTTTAGGAACCACCACCAATGCCTCCACCAATAATTCTGCAGCCACTACCACCACCACCCCCTCCGCCCCCACAAAGTGAGTAAAAAAATATTTTTTTTTGCCCTCAAAAATTTTTTCAAGTTTGCCTTCTTTGCTGTTGCGAACAAGCTCCCCCTCCTCCACCACCACTTCCACCACCCCCTCCTCCACAGCCTTGTTGCTGCTGCTGTCCATGTTGCTGTTGTTGTCCCCCACCACCTCCGCCACCAATGCCCCCTCCAATGCCGCCGCCTCCTCCTCCGCCTTGTCCTTGCTGTTGTTGTTGCTGTCCTCCAGGTGAGTTTTATAATAAAATGTGAATCTTCTGATTTTGGATATTCTGATTTTTGAATGTTCTGATTTTTCAATATTCTGATTTTTGAATATTCTGATTTCAGAATATTCCGATCTTTGAATATTCTGATTTCTGAATATTCTGATTTTTGAATATTCTGATTTTTGAATATTCTGGTTTTTCTACTAAAATTCTGACAATATAATATTTCAGCACCCCCGCCAATGCCTCCACCAATGCCACCTCCACCACCACCACAGCCTTGCCCTTGCTGTTGTTGCTGCTGTCCTCCACAACAACAACAACTTCCGCCACCGCCACCACCTCCATGTTGCTGTCCTTGCTGTTGTTGTTGTACTATACAATCACATTCACAACAACCACCTCATTTTGGTGGAGGATTTGGAGGAGGGTTTGGAGGTAGGAGAATATTATTTTATTTAACTGGAAATTCTGATTTTTACCAGAAATTCTGATTTTTCTGATTTTCCAAAAAATTCTGACCTTCTGATTTATCCCAAAAATTCTGATCTTTCTTATTTTCCAAAAATTCTGATTCAGATTTTATCAAAAATTCTGATTCTCTGATTTTTGCCAGAAATTCTGATCCTCAGATTTCTACTAGAATTCTGATTTTATTATTTTTCCAAAATATTCTGATCGTTAAAGAAAAATTCTGATTTTTAATAAATATCAATTTAAGGAGGAATGCTTCCTCCACCCCCACCATTCGGAGGGGGAGGTATGATGCGTCCACAACAACCATCATGCCCCTGCTGTGGAGGAGGAGGATTTGGAAAGCGAAGGAAGCGTTTAGTAGATTATTTAAATAATAAACAGAATTCGACTAATTTTTAAAAAATTTTTTGAAAAAATTATTTTAATTTTTATTATTGTTAAAAATGATTTTTTGAAAAATAAAGAGCAATGAAAGACACGTAATTAATTTTTAAAAATTAAAATATTTAAAAATAAACTAGTTGAACTATTTATTAAATTAATTTCTGGTTAATTTTCTCCTAATTAATTTTTAAAAAATTCAGTTGGCACCAATACACAAACAAGTCTTTCTACAAAATAAAAATTTGGTTGCCTTGTTTATTTCGCAAAATCCTCCTTAAAATTTAAATTTTAAAAAATTCAAAAAATTTTTTTTCGAAGTCACCCCTAGCCCATTCAGTACACAAAAGTTCCCCTCTGTCATCTACTTCGTGTTCACAGTCAAAAATGTAGGGAGTCCCTTAAAATTAATTTTAAAAATATTTAAATTAATTAATAACATCTTTGAAAAGCGGCTGTTGTTGTTTTTAATGGAGAAGCTTAAAAAGAGGGAAAATATAATTAAGTAATGGTGTTATTATTTAATAATTAATATAAGAATCAGAATTATTAAAGTTAAAATTATAAATTCTGATTTTATATTTAAGTAAAGTTTAAAATAAAATTCTGGTTAAATAAATTCTGATTTTTAAAACTCTGATAAGTAAAAATTCTGATTATTAAAAATTCTGATTTAATAAATTCTGATTTTTAAAACTCTGATAAGTAAAAATTCTGATTATTAAAAATTCTGATTTAATAAATTCTGATTTTTAAATCTGATTTCTAGAATTCTGCTTATTAGAAAATTCTGATTATTAAAAAATTCTGATTATTAAAAATTCTGATTAGATAAATTCTGATTCTTAAAATTCCGATTTAATAAATTCTGATTTTTAAAGTCTGATTTCTAGAATTCTGATTATTTTGTATAAAATTCTGTTTATTAAAATTCTGGAAAGTAAAATTCTCATTAAATAAGTTCTGATTCTTAAAATTCTGATTATTATTTAAAATAAAAATAATTCTGATTTGTATAAACATTCCCTTTATTAAAAATAAAATTAAAAAATTCCGAAACAAATTCTGAAATAAATTCTGGAAAAATACTTAATACAAAAACACACAAAATTCTGATTTTTATTTATTTATTAAATACCTTCACGTTCTGTAGTTGTCCCTACCAACCCTAATTTATTTTTTAAATGCATTGGTTTTGCTTTGGGTGCTGTAGGCTCTTAAAATTAAATAAATTTTTTATTAAAAAAAATTTTTTTTTTCAACTTGTATTTTCCTCATCTTCTGATATTTTATTTTCCGAATTTTCAGTTAATTCGTCATCTATGGCAGAAAAAAATTCTGTAGCCTTCCCATCATTATTTAAATTTTTTCTTGTTGATTTTCTCTTAGACTTGCCTTCATTATTAGTTAATTCTTCCATTTTTATTCCGTTTTGGCGGGTTTTTAGATTTTTCTTTTTTGTGTTTTCGTCTAGAAAATTTTTTGAAATTTTTAAAAATTTTCGGAATTTTTGAAAATTTATAAAAAATTTTTTGAAGAATATTTTTTAAATTTACTTCGTGTTTCTCTCGTTTCATCACAATTAACAGCTTTTGTTTTATTTCTAATATTTTCACGTTTTTCAACGGATATGTCTTTATCAGTGGCTAACTCACTTTCTTTTGCTTCTTTTTTGTCAATTTGGGTTTCTTCTGTTTTTTCAAATTTTGTTTTGGTTTCAGATGAATTTTCTGACTAAAAGATTGAAATTTAGATTTAGTTTTAGTCGAACTTTATGTATATTTTTAGTGTTAAAAAACGTCTCATTCTGAGTGTCATAAAGAGAATCTGTTGCTTTATCGAGTAAGGCTACATCCCAGAATATAGACAGAAGAGTGTAAGGGATCTGAGAGAGATGAGAGCTTGAGAGCTCTCCGATGGATGCTAGTGTAAGGAAGAGAAAGATCCAGCTGGCTAGCATTTAAAACGCTCCGAGGGTTTAAAAGCTGATATAAAAGAGAAGGTGAAGGTAGCGTCCCGGTAGCTCAGTCGGTAGAGCACCTGTACGAGGTCAGCGGTCGCAGGATCGAAGCCTGCCCGGGATTAAACTGTTACCTCGCTCTTACGATAGTTAACCTCCTCAAACCATCTCACCACCAGGTGTGGGCGCAAGAGACAATTTCAAAAAACGCAAAACGCAACGCAAGGCCAAAAATCAACGCAAAACGCAAAAAACGCAAGACGCAATGCGCCCACCCCTGCTCACCACCGACTAATCTTTTCATTTTGCCCTTACTAGGCTGAGGGAAACACCATTCTTTCCAGCACCCACAATTGCGAAAAGCTTTAAAATTTCAAAAAATTTTTTAAATTCACCTCTCTTTTCTTTTCTTCATTAGAAGTATTTATTTCCTTCTTTTCTTCACTTAATAACTTTCCTTCCTTCTCCTCTTCCCTCCTTTCAACTATTTTCTTCTTCCCTTCCTCATTTTCAATTTTCTCCTTTTCGCTACTTTCATCCTTTTTTCTTTTTTCCAATTTTTCTTCCGATTTTTCTGTCCTTTCCACAGATTTTTCTACTTTTACTTCCACAGATTTTTTATTTAAATTTTCTTTTTTAATTTCTTTTAAATTTTCTTCTTTTGAATTTACTGCTTCTTTTGAAGCCCTTTTCAATATTTCTTCAGATCTACTTCCTCTCCTTCCCCCTTTGTGCTTTCCAGTTCGATGCCTGTAAAAATATCTTTAACCATACCCTCATTTATAATTACACCCTTATGTCGGGAATTTTGTACCTTATAATGAGGGGTATATTAAATAGAGAGGGGGAGGGCGTCTCTCTCCCCCTCTCTCTCTCCCTCCCTCCTTAAATAGAGGAGGGAGGGAGAGACCACCCATTGCCCGAGAGAGAGACCACCCAGAGACCACCCATTGGGAGGGAGTCTCTCTCCACCTCTCTCTCCCTCCCTCCTTAAATAGAGGAGGGAGGGAGAGACCACCCATTGTCCGAGAGAGAGACCACCCAGAGACAACCCATTGGGAGGGAGTCTCTCTCCCCCCTCTCTCTCTCCCTCCCTCCTTAAATAGAGGAGGGAGGGAGAGACCACCCATTGCCCGAGAGAGAGACCACCCAGAGACCACCCATTGGGAGGGAGTCTCTCTCCACCTCTCTCTCCCTCCCTCCTTAAATAGAGGAGGGAGGGAGAGACCACCCATTGCCCGAGAGAGAGACCACCCAGAGACAACCCATTGGGAGGGAGTCTCTCTCCCCCCTCTCTCTCTCCCTCCCTCCTTAAATAGAGGAGGGAGGGAGAGACCACCCATTGCCCGAGAGAGAGACCACCATTGGGAGGAAGTCTCTCTCCCCCCTCTCTTTCTCCTTCCCTCCTTAAATATAGGAGGGAGGGAGAGACCACCCATTGCAGACAATGAGTGTTGCATAGTTTATATTGGACTTGGTTTTTCTTAATAGGGTTGTAGATTCTACGGTTCAAGTTTCGATATCCAAAGATTTTTTAGAACCGACAACCATACGCCTCAATATAACTGAGACCGTGCTTTTTCTAAAATGAAAATCCCATCCTGGAAAAATAAGCAAAAGATTCTATAGGATATGATTCTGTAATGTTGTCAATTCCGTCAATGTAGGTTGTTTGTCACACTCAACAATTCCAACATCTACGGATAGTTTCATACTTACTCTTTTTTTCGCTAGAACTGGAGGCAAATTAAGGAATACCTTTCTCTAGATTCCGAAGATCCCGATCTCCTCTTTTCTTTCGAGTGTCTTCTCTCTTTTGAGTGTCTCCTTTCTTTCGATCTTCTTCTATATTCTTCCGAAGATCTCGATCTACTTCCATGATGATGTCTTTCTCTAGATTTCTTTCCTTTCCTTCCATGTCGTCTTTCTCCAGATCTAACCTCATAAGACCTCGATCTCGACCCTTTCCGATGCTTCCCTTTACGTTTTTCTAAACTCTTCACATCTTCTTTGACTGTTTCTACTCGAGTTTCTTCCTTTTCTGCGTCCTTCTCCGTATCCTTTTTATTTATTTCTTTTAATTTCGATTCGCTAATTGAAGTGGATATTGTTATTTGTTTTAATTCTTCAGTTTCACTTGATTCTTTATTTCTTGTGGTGTTTGTTGGAAGCTTTATTTGGTCGAAATCTAAGGGAAAAATTTTTTTGTTAAATATTTCTTTCATTTTTCCTTCCCGGACAGTTACCGAAAGGAACTCGGGGAGTCTTCTAAGGTTAGTAAATCTTCCTGACCTTAGATACGGGTGAGATATGGGTGAGAGATGAGGGGGTGAGAGATGTGATCTGCCACTGACGTGTGGAGACTTATGTTACTTAATTTAATGACCCGAGAGAGAATTTATCTTTTGATTAAAAATGGAATAAGCTCGATTCCTCTTGGACTCCTCCTTTTCCATGACCTGCTCCTCCTTTTCTATGACTTCCTCCTCCCTTTCTTTTAATAGAATCCAAACTTCCACTTCCATCTGATCTCCTTTTTCAGAAAAAAGGAGATTCAGATGGTGATAGAACTTTGAGTTATAATAATAGAGCAGTATTGAACTTGGGGAGCATAAACGCTTAACAATAACTGACTGGAAGATTTCACTCTTATCTTCCTCATTCTTCCCCCTTTTTTCTTAAACAAAATTTCGTACCCCAATATTTATTTCCTTTGGGTGAACTTGTCGTTTTTGAGTTAATAATTTCCTCCTCCTTTTCAGCCCCAGCAGTAGTTCTTCCATCCTTTTTTAAACTTTCTTCTTCATTGTCAATAACTGAAGAATTTATTTTTGGAGCCAATTCACTAATTAATACTGTATTATTTTCTTTTTCAATTAAATTAGGGTCCAAAATTTTATTTTCGTTATCATTTCCCCCGATTTCTGCATTTCTTTGTTTTTCTATTTTTTCTTCTTCCTCTTTTTTTTCTTTTCGTTTACGACATTCTTTTAAAAATTAAATTTAAAAATCAGTATTAAATTTAAAAATTACTTCTCTTAGGCTTTTTTGTGCTTGCTTCATTTTCAGAATTTTCTTTGTTGTCAGGCAAAGTTGATGTTTCCTCCTCTATTTCCTCCTGTAAGGTTGTGGCCTCTAAAGCTGGCCTTTATAAAAATACAAAAGATAGTAAATTGAAAATCAGAATTTTTTATTTTTAGAATCAGAATTGTAATCAGAATTATTTTTTTTATGAAATTAGAAATTATTTGCCAACCAGAATATGAAATAAATTAAAATTCAGAATCAGAATTTAGAGCAGAATTTTATTTTCTTAAAATTTCAGAATTTTTAAAAATCAGAATTAAAATTAAATCAGAATTAATTTAAATCAGAATTTTATCAGAATCAGAATTAAAATTAAATCAGAATTAATTTAAATCAGAATTTTTAAAAATTAGAATTTCTATATTAGTTAACTTAAATCAGAATTAATTTAAATCAGAATTTTATCAGAATCAGAATTAAAATTAAATCAGAATTAATTTAAATCAGAATTTTTAAAAATTAGAATTTCTATATTAGTTAACTTAAATCAGAATTAATTTAAATCAGAATTCTATCAGAATCAGAATTAAAATTAAATCAAAATTAATTTAAATCAGAATTTTTAAAAATCAGAATTTCTATAGTACTTAATTTAAATCAGAATTATTAAAATCAGAATTTTTATTTTCCGATTATAATTTTAGAAATCAGAACTTTATTGTCTCTTAGTATTTCAGAATTATTATTTTTAAATTAAAAATCAGAATATTACCTTTTTGTTATTATCTCCTCTTTTATTTCATCATTTATTTTTTCACTTTCTTTACTCGAAGAAAAAGGTTTCAAGGATTTTTTAACTACAAAATCTTCAGTTTCATTTTTTAAAAATTTAGTTTTTCCAATTTCTTCAGATGAATGTTCTTTAATTTTTTGTTGTTTGCGTTTCTTGCCTTTTTAATTAAAATATTTATTTTTAAATTTAAAATCAGTATTTTTTAAAATTACAATTAAGAATCTAAATTAATTTAAAATTAAAATCAAAAATTATTTCAAAATTAAAATTAATTTACAATAGAATTTTATTAATATTTCAGAATTTTTGGAATCAGAATTTTACATTTCTGATAATTTTTAGCCAAAACCCGTAATTTAAGATATAGTTATTTTAAATTTGGTTGGCTTCAATATGATTGGCCTCTAGTCTAAGCGATATCCCGCTTTAAATTTAATATATACCTCCTTATAAGATAAGATTTTTTCAACCTCATGTGGGCATAATGATTTTGATTTTATTTTAAAAATTAAAAAAAAATAAATTTACTTTCTAAGCGTGCTTTACATATTCTATCTTCTTCATCTTCATCATCCTCTTCTTTTAATTCTTTTGATTTATTCTGATTTATTTCTGTATCTCCTCGAACTCGAGTTACTAATAGGAAAATTATTTTAAAAAATTAAATCAAAATAAAAACACACGGTTAGGTAAAGATCTCTCAATAGAGGACCTCTCAGAACTAGCAACACTGTCTACACTTGCTATCAAAATATTTAATAAAATGAAAATTAAAAATAAAAATTTTTGCCAATTTAATAATATTAAATTGTAATTTAGCTGTATGTTGAAAAGTGCATTTTGCATTTTACATAAATGCTTTTTTCTAAGGATTTATTTTAAAAATTAAAAAAACTTAATTAATTAAAATTATTAAATAAAATTTGTTATAGTTCCTTCAAAGCTTGTTTTAGTATCCCTCTCCTCAACCGCACTGAAGGCCTCACAACTAATGGTGTCGAAATTCAATTTAAGAAACTAAAGACTTCCCCTAATGTACCAAGTTTGAGATTTGGTTATTGAATCGGGATGGGGATTTCTGTATGCGTTTTACCTCTGGTTGGAATAAGAATTCTCAATTAAATAAGGTATACTATAATGATAATTGTCTGTATTACCTTAGATGGTGGGATCTGGTCAGTGAATCGGGAGGGGATTTATGGTACTTTCATCCCTAGTTGGAATAAGAATTTTCAATTTTAAGAAGGGACTATAACGATAATTGTCTTTATTACCATAGATGGTTAAGATAAAAAAATTCTAAATTAAATCTAATTTAGAACAAAAATATAATTTGATTAAATAATAATAAAAGGAATGTTATAGATTAACTAAAACTTTAATATAGTAAATAAATTCTTTTAATCAGATTATTTTTTAAATTAATTTTTTAGGTCGTTTTTAATGATCTTTTTTAGCTTTTCATCACTTCCTTTCGCCTTTTTCCACTTCCTTTTATTACCAACCAGATCAGCTTGTCTATTAAACATTTTTGGAAGGATATATTTAGTGATTAGAAAGAAAAGAGTAGTAAATAAAGTGAACCAGATATTAAAAATCAAAGAGAAAAGCGGAACTAATAGGTAAAAAAATAAAAAAGCAATTCCAATTTATTATCGTCGTTAAAGTTAATTAATCATAAAAGTTTTATTTTTAAAGGATTTTGTACTTTTAAGGTTATGGAACCAAAAATATAATTTATATTATGGAAAATATGTTGATACAGTAGAACATTTTTTGTGTAATCTGGTTCATTTTTAGAATTAAAATTAAACCAAAATTTAAAGGACATATGTATAAGGGAGACAAATAGCGCTTGAAAATTTTAAAAAACATTGACTCTCATTCTTGATTTTGGTAGAGGATCTTGACCAGATTCTTTGACCCTTAAGTCAAGTAAAATCAAGGAAAATTGAAAAATTCCTTTATATTGACTCTGAATCCAGGAAAAATCAAGACTGTATCCAGATCGCAGGCTAATTTATACACATAAATAGTGGTCAAAATTCCCATATTAATCAATCAGTTATTAGATGATATTTATTAATAAATCAAACTGGTTTGAAATAAATATGCTTATTTTATTTACATATTTTATAAAGGAAAATTTTTTTGAGATATTATTTAGACTTTATAACAGATCTACTATACAAGCGACAATTCTAAAGTGACAACTCTAAAGTTTATTAAAACCAAAATCAGAATTAGTATGAAAAGCTAAGCAAGATTTTAGCCAGATAGACCTTCTGGCATCTATTAACCTATTCTCGAGTTTTAAATATAGAAAGAGTTCAGTAAAAGCTTAGCTACAGGGCAGGAATTATTGCCCCGCCTTTTTAAATGATCTAGGTGAATCATCATTACAATATCCGTCAATAAAATTTTGTCTTGATTTAATCAGTCAATAGATAACAATCAAGAGATTAACATTTTAATTTAGTACAATTATTTGTATTATATTTGTATTAGTATTATTTGTAGTACAATTTTTGTTATTTTCAATCTTTTTCTTAATCAGAACAACCTTATATCCCAATTTTAATAAAGCTGTAAATTTAGGCGCTAGCCATTTGACTGTTGACACCATAAAATTGGCACGTCTTTGAATATCTCTGGAATGGGAAAGAGGATTGTTTAAAATATTTTTCTGATTTTTCTAATTAAAATTAAAATATTCAGTTACGAAAAAATTTTTAAATTAAAAATTAAATTCACATTTCGTCATCATTTAAATTATTTTGTGTTGTAATCGTTAAAATAATATTTAAAATAATTATAAAATTTAAAAATAATATTGTCATTAAAATTTTGTTCGAATTATTTTTAAATAATAAAAAATTAAAAATTGTAAAAATATTTTTTTCAGAAAATCATGTTTTATTTAATTAAAGAAACAATGTATTATTGTTTTTTAATTTTTAAATTAATCAATTGTTATTTCTAAAAATTTACTAGGACACATAAATCATAATAATAAAATAATAAAATTGGACGTCTTTGAATATTTTTTTACAATTTTTTGTCTAAAAAATAAATAAATGTTTAATTATTTTATTGTCTGATATGCATACACTTTGTTTCAAAATTATATTTCCACCTTTTTTTCTCATAACTCATCGAAAATCCAAAGAATTTTGTTGAAAATTTAAGAGTATATCTGAATTAGTACATATGTATATTAATTGTTACATAAATTCAAGCTTCTCCAATTAAAATTTTTTTATATAAATAAAAACAATTTATCAGTGTCAAAATTATAGACCCACTTTTAAGAAGTTTAGTTAAAGTTCAAAGTTTACAAAATACCAAAAATGAATTTTTTCGTGCCTACTTTTAAAGAAGTAAAGGGTGTCGTGGGCTGAGCTTTGGTGCTCTCAATGCAATGAACAAAGCAAAAAAGTGGAAAAAATATTGTATGTTGATATCATTCAACTTCAAAAGTTTATGCAGACAAAAATAGTAAAGCTGCAAGGGCGACACAGCAGAAAATAGATGACGATAAACTTTTTGAAAAACATTTGGCCAAGCAAGGTGCCAAAAGAGAACAAAAAATTGGCCATTAAACCTAAACAAGCATTTTAGTAAAAAAATCCTCATTTCGCTATGTCTGATTTTTCTAAATTCGAAATCTTTATCATTCTAATAGCCCCATTTTAGTAAATCCTCATTTCGCTATATCTGATTTTTCTAAATTCGAAATCTTTATCATTCTAATAGCCCCATTTTAGTAAATCCTCATTTCGCTATATCTGATTTTTCTAAATTCGAAATCTTTATCATTCTAATAGCCCCATTTTAGTAAATCCTCATTTCGCTATATCTGATTTTTCTAAATTCGAAATCTTTATCATTCTAATAGCCCCATTTTAGTAAATCCTCATTTCGAATATCTGATAGTAAAGCTTGTGCTGGGCCAGGATGGTGTTGGGATGTTGGGCGGGTTGCGTGCGATGTTGAGGGTCCCGAGAGGCGATGCCGATGAGTATATTGCGGAGCGGAGGGTAGGCCTTTCTATGCGCTTGTATAATGCTGGTCGGTTACGAGACCGACTTGCCCGGGAATAATATGCGCTGATTAATAAGCTCTTAGGCTTCTTCTGCAGGATTAATGAATAAGCTCTCAGCTTCTTCGGCCGGTTTATTCACTTCTCTATTGATTACTTTCCAACTGACTGGTGAACAGTCGACTGATCCCCTTTTCACTATTTTCCACTTAGTTTTATCCTAAGGCCTTATCTGTCAATCTCCTCCCCTTATTAAATCCTTTCCCAAAGGAACTAAAGTTCCTTTTCTCCATCCTTGCCCATCCGGATCAAAGTACGCCTTACACCTCCAACCCCGGGGAAGACCGTCCCTTGGTCTTTTCCTAATTTCCCAAATTTCAATTTTATTTTTCATTTATTTTATTTTTAAACCCACCACAATTTACAGTTTTACCATGTGCCCCAAGTCTGTGCCTCCATTTTCTATCTTCTTCTTTTCTCATCTTCTTCTACAGTCTCTTGCCAAGTGTCCGGGATTTCCACATCTGTTGCAAATAAGTTGTCCTCTTCCTGTTCGTAATTCGCCACCACGTATTAGATTAGCTTCTTCAACTTTCACTTCAATTGACCTTCCTTTTAAATCATTGAGTACTCCATTCGAGTCGCGTGTTGGTTCCTCATTTTCCATTACTTCTAAATATCGTTCGTCAACAAAGGGAGTGTGTCGTTTTGCCATAGTAATGAATCTTCTCCACGTTTCTCCTCGTATGGATTCAAAATCGGCAATAATGATTAATCCGCTTTGTGCCCTGAACAACGCTACGGTGGCGCGTCTGCTATCCTTCAAAAAGTCAGAGACATCGGCGCGAGCTGCTGATCCAGGCGATTTAGTGCTTGTTGTCACAAGAATGATTAAACGGTGCTCGCGGCTTTGAAACGCATCTACAGAGTTCACAGATACCTGCAGATTTTCTTGGTAGAGTCTTTCCCTTATTTTTTCGCATTGGTACGTGTATAGGCATATAATGGCAACACCTTGAGGATCTCGGTGCTCCAGCGCTTTTGCAATTATAATAGCGGCCTCAGTCTGTTCAGGTGAAGAAAGAGAGTAGAGGCGCTGTCTTGCTCTATCGTTCCTCTTATATTTAAAAGTATGAGTGGAACGTCGTTCACCGGAAGATTTATTCCAAGCTTTGTCAATCCTGTGCGCTTTGATGCGGGAACTGCGATTACTCGTTCGTCGTGTTTTTGATACGAGGAATAGTTGAAGCATTCAGTTATAATGGGATGCGAGCGGTAACATCGTTCCAAGATTGTGACTGATACTCTCTCGCAATTTTCCATTTGATCAGTTACGCTTTCAAGACCGTAACCGCTTTGAATAAATTCTGGTAATTGTTATATGCCCCCGGTCAGTAATACGGAAAAACTAAAGGTAATTGAGAATGTTTTTACTAATTTTTATTTTTACACGCTTTAAATCTCTCAGAATATCACCTCCAACCACCGAATCGTCCGTCCCTGGACGACTAAATAAAACCTTGAGTATTTCAATTCGTCGAGATCTTTCTTCTTCATTAGCTTCTTCCATGATCTTTTGGAAAGCCTCTTCTTCTTCCACACTTGTATGTGTGGTTGATTTTGGTTTTTGTGAACCCGTAGGTTCCATGGTCATAAGACCAGCAGTTTTATTTAGAGTTTTTGAATCCGTGGATTCCATGGTCAACAGACCAGCATTTTTATTTAAGCTTTTTGAATCCGTGGATTCCATGGTCAAAGGACCAGCTTTATTTGTTGTTGTTGTTTCATTTTTCTCAGTTTTGAAATAGAAATGACCGCGGCCACGTTTTCGAACATTTTGATTGTTGTCCATTGATAACTGAAATTTAGTTTTTAATTTAAAAAAAAAATTTTTTTTTTAATGGGAGAAAAAATTAAGTGTGAGTTAAATACGCGGTTGTATAAAAATTAAATATGAAATAAAATAAGCGAATAAAAATTTGATTAATTGAAAAAGTATTAAATGATTTTAAAAAAATGAAAATTAAAAGATTGATTAAGTGAAATTAGATGAATAAAATAAGAATTTGAATGTATGACCCCTATTAATTTTATTTTTTTAAAAGGAAAATTTTTTCTTTTTGGGATTTTCTCGTAAATTATATTTCTTTTGAGTGTTCTTTTGTACTAATTCAGTGTTCGAGTTTTGATTTTCCTGTATATCGGGAGTTTCTATTTCTTGGGAAATATTTTCATTTTCAATACCTTCGTTTTCTTCAGCTCTTTCCAGAGCCTTTTCTTCTTCACTCGATAATTCAGGTACCGTACAAGCGGGTGTTAGTGCTTCAAAACACTTTTTTAGTTGATTTATATGTACTTTTCTGGGTGTACCCTGAGGTGAGTTACAACTTACTATTGTGACATGTACTCCATCAATTTTTACTACTCTAAATACACCTTTCCAAGGCATATGAAATTTCTTGGAAGTACCTATTTTTCCTGCATAGTTTCTGAGTAATACTCTATCTCCTACTGTGACTGTGGGGTTTCTTACTAATTTGTCATATTGAGTCTTTGCTCTTAACTGTGCTTGCTTATTTGCTTCATCGGCAGCCTCCCAGGCGCATCTAAGTGAAGTGATTAGTCTTTGCTTAAATTCGGAAATGTCTGTAAACGCAACAGGACTGTACACTGACGGGTCTAGTATCTGGTCTACGCAAAAGATAGGATCACGACCAAACATGAGAAAGAATGGCGTTTCACCTGTCGACACGTGTATCGAAGTGTTATAACAGAAGCATGCGCAGTCTAAAAATTCGTCAAAATCTGGTTGATCCTTACTTATGTACTTGGAGAGAATATTATGGAATGTTCTAAAGGATCTTTCAGTAACTGAGTTTCCTTGAGACCAGTGTGGTGTGGCATAGCTTTTATTAATGTATAGCATTGAACAGAAATCCTTAAAGAATTCGCTTGTGAAGGCTGTGGCATTGTCAGTTACTAGTTCAACACAGCCACCATATTTTAAGTAACAATTATTGAGAAATGCTCTTGCTAGAGTCATTGCTTTAGTGTCAGGGACTGGTACCGAAATAACGTATTTAGTGAACCAGCAAATTATATTCATTACATGTTTATTGCCATTTTGTGTTAATGGGAATGGTCCTGCTAGATCTAATCCAACTTTAGCAAATAGTGTGTTTACTGGTACCATTTGCATTTCTGCCCTATATGGTGGATTGGGTGAGTGTCTAAGTTGACAAGTTATACAATTTCGTGTCCAGGTTAAAATATCAGCGTGCATTCTTGGCCAATAATATTTTCTACACTTCTTGAGGGTCTTTTTCAAATTCATGTGTCCACCCCCTAGTTGAGAGGAGTGAAATGAGTCAAAAATTAGAGCCCTGAGTGAAGATGGTACAAATATTCGTGGTTTTAAATTCGGAAGTTTGTGACATAGTATATCCCCTATAATTCTCAGATTTTCGGCATTTAATACGAATTTCTCCTGATCATTGGGTGATATGTCTTCTGGGAGTTCCCCGGTTTTTATAAATTTAATATAGTCTGCAGCTTCCATGTCATTTTCTTGTTCTTGCTTAATGTCTATTGCATAATTTTCATTTTCTTTCCTAAGTGTTAAAACTGAAGCATAATGTTCATTAATAAGCCCATCTTTTATAGGAAGCGTGAAACAAACTGGGAATTCTGCAATGTCTTCTAGTTCAGTTTGCTCTTCTTCAGACTGGTTTTGCAGTCGCGAAAGTGCATCAGCGAGTAGATTTTCTTTACCAGCTATGTGTACAATTTTAATATTGTAATTTTGCAATTCTATAAGCCAGCGTGCTAAATTTGGGCTTGCATCTGCTTTCTTTAGTAGGTAAGCAAGAGGTTTGTGATCTGTGTGCAGTTCTATTTCAGCCATATAAATAAAAGGTCTGAATTGTCTTAAAGAGAATATTATGGCGCCCAATTCGATTTGGACGGGTGCCCATTTGCGTTCTGAAATTGTTAGAGTCCTGCTACAGTACGCGATTGCTTTATATGTATTATTTTCAATATCTTTTTGCATTAGAGCGCCTCCCTGTCCAGTAAGGGACGCATCGGTGAATATGTGGAAAGGTTTTTCGTAATCCGGAAATACAAGAACTGGTTGACTAGTTAGGATTTTCTTGATTTTATCAAATGCTTGCTGTTGTTCGTCACCCCAATGGAATTCGATTTCCTTCCTAGTAAGCTTTGTGAGTGGTTCAACTATTAGCGAAAAGTTTTGAATATGCTTTCTGAAAAATGATGCCATGCCTATAGCTTGCCTAACTTCTTTGACAGTGGTGGGTGCAGGTAAATTATTTATTGTTTCAACTTTAGCGATACTGGGAGTGTACCCTTTGGCATTTATTGTGTATCCTAAGAAATTCATTTCCCTTGAGGCAAATATGCATTTCTTGGGACTTATTTTTAGAAAATACTTTCTTAATCTGGTAAAGACCTGCCTTAATGCTTTTAAATGTTCATCAAAGTCTGGAGATTTTGTAAAGACTAGGAAATCATCTACATATGCTAGAACACACTCATCTAATCCGCTTATTACATGCGCCATTACTCTCGCAAATGCGCTTGTTGCATTCCTTAGCCCAAAAGGCATGTGTGTCATTTGGTATATCTCATCTTCCATTATTACTCCACATTTTCTAGAAGCTCTTTCTGTTAATCTAATCTGTAGGTAACCGCTTGACAAATCTAGTGAGGAATAATAGTTGCAGTTTCCTATCCTTTCCATTATTGATTCTAATCGCGGAAGAGGAAAGTGGTCTGGGACTGTTACTTCGTTAAGTTTCCTAAAATCAATGCAAGGTCTTAAACCTCCATCTTTCTTTTGTACTAGAACTATGTTCGATACCCATGGAGTGTCTGATTTAACCATTACTCCAGATTTTAAAAGTGCTTCAATGTGTTTCTGAAGTTCTTCTCGGTATTTAAATGGAACTCTATGTGGCCTAGATGTTATAGGTTCTTCAGTTGTGGTAATAATGTCGTATTCCCCTGCTATACATGACCCTAGATCATATTGTGTTTTACTAAATACATCAGAAAATTCTTCACACAATTTTTCTAATTTTTGTCTATCTTCCCCCTGTACTGAGCTTTTGGAAAAATCTACCTTGAATGTCGGATTTGCTTCTACAGTGTTTACATGTTCATTGACATTAATGTTTTCTACCTGTGTTAACCATGGCTGTTCATTAATTGACCAAACCTCATCAGCCAGAGCAATGTGCATTCCTTTACATATGTGCTTTGGTTCAGTTGTTGGATTGGCAATCAAAATTTTGTTTTCTTTTGCATTTGGTGCGACCACTGCTTCAATGAGTGCAAGATGGTCCTTCTCAAGCCTTTGGTCCAGTGAGTGTACAAGTGCCAATTTTTCTCCACCATTAGTTTTAATTTTCACTGAGACAAGTCCGTGTTTTCCTGGTAAAATTGTTTTAGCTTCAATAGCTGCTACACGCATGTTTTTTGACTTTGACTTATTTTTATCTGAATAATTAAATTTGTTTTCAAAATTAATTTTTCCTTTATTAAAATCGAATGTTATTGGCGGAAGTCTTTTTAGAATGTCACATCCTATAATTAATTGGTATGTTCTATTTCCTGTAATTTGATTGTCTTCAACCACTCTTATAGTTACAGGTAATTTAGTATCCGCAATTTCTAGTAATACTTCAGCTTGAGCTAATACATTAATTTCATGCCCAGAGGCAGACGTTATGCTAATTGTTGCTGGTGTTAGGTTTAGTCCTAAAGTCCTTGCAAGTGAGATAGGAGCAATCGATATGCTCGCACCTGTATCAATTAAACATTTTACTGCTTTGTTGTTTATAAACACCCCAGTTATTGTGGGACATGACTGTAGGGTATTTATAGAAAAATTTTGTGATGCCGTGGCATCCATGTCTTTCGACAGCTTTTTATCACACATTTTGTTTGCTCTCATGACATTTACAGTGTGACCTTCAGTTTCTACCGATTGAGGAAATTTAGAAACCTTTGGGATCCAAGACATTTTTCGTCTTTGTGACCTTACACTTGGAGTTTTTTCTCTTTTAAACTCAGGATTTTTGTTAACTTTTACCATTGGAATCTCTTCTGTGTTTCTGTTAATGCTTGTCTGTCTAGCTCTGTTAATTATATTTCGACTTTGACCAAATAGCATATTTCCTAACTGTCCTTGTCCTAAATAATTTTCTGCTGCTTTAATTCCCCATCTTATTACTAAATCTAGAGTTAATATGGCTATTAAAATTGATATTATGACCTTCCAAATCCATGTATAGTCCCCAATAATTTCAGTAACGAGACTATTTCCTGCCTCTTTCCATTGATCAGAGAGCGTTTTTACTATATGCATATCTTTTTGTTCAATGCGATATGAAATTTCGCTTGCACGGACTAGGTTACTCATGAATGTATGCGTTTTGAGATCCGTGAGATTTACTAGCATTAATTGATGGAATGAGTGTGATTTTATTTCAGGTATACTGTAGGATTTGAGTTCCCTTAAATTGATTGGACGAGGTTGAATTTTTCTAAATTCCCCTGAGGTCTGGTTTACTTCTAGTACCTCATGATTTATTTCTACAATTGTTTTCCCATATATTGAACAAGGTGCTTTTCGAGCTGTGGGCTCAATTGTCATGGTTAGTGGATTAAGGAATGCTAAGTGTTCCCGACTTTCTGCTTTGAACTGAATTGGGATTAAGTCGAAACATTCGCTAAGATTGGTAGCTTTGAAAGAGTACTCGTCATTTATAATTGGTATACATGGCCATACACGCAGTAGTGATGACCCTTCTCGTTTTGCCGTGACATAGT